ATCCCGAGACGCTTGTTGAGCTCTAAGACTCCCATAATTATCCTGAAGACATTAAGGCAACACTGCCCGGGGAAGAGGTGGAAATGGGAGAGGAACTGGAGGAGTAAAAGGGGCAGAGGGAACCTAATTTCACCCTCTATGATGGCTTTGGTAGAAAAAGACATCTCATCCTCGGACCCGAGGGTACGGGAATGCACAGCCGAGTTATAATGCTCTATGTCTACATATGGGGGGATGCGATACTAGACCCTAAACCTATTAATCTACTCGCCCCCCCTTCACTTTGTACTTTCCTGGCCTCGAGGAACTAGCCTGAGGATTTTCAGGGCAGGGCGACGTCGGGGCATCTCCAAAAATGATGAAAAGTGAGGAAGAAGGGAGGAGTTTTTACCACGAAGATCCCCGAGTAGGCTTCCCGAGGGTTGGTCACAGAATGGCGACAGAAACACCTCCATTATCAGAAAATCAAAAGAAAATAAAAACAGCGAAAAGAAGAAAAGAAGAGAAGAGACAGAAGGACGAAGAGAGGGAAGATACAAGGACTCATCAGAACGTAAACGGAAGCTTTTCTTGAAAACTTAAAGTGATTCCTTCCCCTAGGATGTTTAGAAGCAAGGATGGGTCTGCTGGCCTTGAAACTCCGGTGAAAGATTGGGCAGTAGACAACGAAAAGAAAGGGATCTCCGGCGAGGTTTTAGGCAAGGGCTCTCTGAAAAAGTTCGAAATGGCGAAATGAGAGAGGGAGAGAAGAAGCCCGTTTATATAGTACCCATCCCCATCATTTGGGCACGAAGCTTGAAGAGGCGCATTTAATGCGCACGACTTCCTAAGCAGGGAAAAACGACTAGAGGCAATGATGAAGTAGTTGGGGGTAGTTGCAGAACCTTTCGTCTCCTTACGACGCGTGTCCTCGGTGTCAGGAGATCGAAGACTAGGGGCAGTTGATGGGATATTTCCAAATACTCCAAGATGAAGACACGTGTCCTCGGCATCAGTAAATTCTTATTACTGTGATCACGACATGTACCCGTCGGTGCACAAGTCCCTCTTCCCCCGAGGTACTGTTCATAGGGATCAATGACACCAAATACGTTTACGTACCGACACGTATCCCTCGGTCGAATATGGGGTACATTGGTCCCTACATGTACCACTCCCCTCGGTACCGAGATGTACCTGTCCAGGATGGCATTCTCTGCTCCTGCAGAGGCTATTGATATACAGGTTACTAGCCTAGGCTAGGCTAGGTTAGGTTAGCCATCATGACCTCGTCTTACACAATTGGTGTCAGAAGGCAGAAGACACAACCAATGGGAATGAGTGCGTGGCATATTATGTCAGATTAGAGACAAAAAGACCGAGATGCCCTTGCTGACACACGACTTGGGAAAACAAGCATGTAGTGCACCATTTTCTTGATGAGACATCATTTAATGCAGTAAGACTCGGAAGTGAAAGGTAATAAATGTCCCTATGACTGGGCATTTATTACATCCTTACCGAGAGAAGCTCATTAAACATTCAACAGGCTGATGACGAAGCATTGGTTGCTCGGGGTCCCGAGCAGTTAAGAAAGAAGACATTCCTCATAGGTATCAGTGCGCACGTTGCCCGTATCTAATGATCACCTACTGACCACACTGACAGCAATCATGAGTTTTTGAGGTATAAATACTCCTCACAAAAGGCAAGACGGTATGCATCAAAAAACCTTTTCTTAAAGAAATACACAGTGTTTTCTCCTTCCCCTCTCAAAAAACTAACTTGATCGTCGGAGGGGATATGCCAAAAAACACTCTGGCGCCCTCCTAACTCATTTCTTTCTGTTTTAGGAACTTCCCTCTGCCTTACTGGATCGCTCTGTTGATCCAAGAAAGTCACTCATTACCGTTTCAGACCACCACCGGACCTCACAGTCTGTGCCAAGCAGCAAGGTTGATCATTCGATTGACTGACTTGAGTTCACCACGGGAGAGATCTGTTCTCGTGTTTATATTGTACAAGATCCTGCACGTACAGAAAAGAATAATAGAAGATTTAAAAACCAGGTCAAGGACCCCAACTCTGTTACCCATCTTATCCTACAGACTATATGGAGTAGACTGGCTTCCCTGAAATTCAAGCCCTCCTATAGTAATCTCCATACTATCCAGTACTGGAGACTTCCAACTAGTTGTCTCTCCTAGTGGCCTCCCCTGTGGCGTCCTCTGTTTTCTGGGTGGTATTCGATCTGATTGTGGTTTCTGTTTCTTGCTACAAATGCTCTGCTCTTTTGGGATTCCATGGGATTCATGACGGTTTGTTTTCTATTATCTATGTTGTTTCTTCCTGGTGGTCATTGTTGGTTTTGTTGGTTTTCCTTTACACTTTGCTTATGCTACTGGTTAAGGATGCTGTTTCTTCATATTTGGATTATGGTTTTCTTTATCTTGGTGGGTGGTGATTTCTCTACCTACGTTGCTTATGACCTCACGTTGTTGCTGGTTTTCTTTGGGTGGCTTACTATTTGAATAGACATTTCAGGAAAATGGTTCTTTCATTCAATTTGGTTCATACATCAATGTATACATCTGTCTTCGGTATTGTTCTCTGTGGTTGACTGTGATTGCTCTATGGATTATGGTTCTGCTTTCTACTGGGTTTTCTCTTGCACCTGTGGTGGCCCTTCAAGGCGGAGCTACTGCACCAGGCTCAGCAGTTTCACGGGAAGGCTTGGGACTACCTTTCCTGGGCTATCCTCTTTTCTTCCCTCTTGCACTTCATGGTGGACTCTTTGGATTTGCCTGTTTGTTACCATTTGCCTGTTCATGTGTTGCTTTATAGAGGGAGGCTGACTCTTACTATTCTCGATTCCCTGCATTTGGCGCTTGGTTGGAGGGATGGTTCCTGCTCTAAATGCATGCACTTATTTCTTTGGTTTGCTCCCCGATGCTGCTGCTTTGCCCCTTCAACTTTGGTGACTGTTGGTACAAACGGTCTCATGTTGTGGTTCTGTTTGTTGTATGGTTGTTTGCGTTGATGTGTGCTGTTGGTGCCTTCCAGCTTGCTTCCTCCTCTGTTGCTGGGGTTCTTGATTGTTTTGTGCAGTTGTGGGTTCCAGTCAATTTTGGATTGCTGTTGTTCCGGAACTGAACAGTCTACCCTGTTTTGATATCATTGTTCCCTTGTTTGCAATTCAGTGGGTGATACCCTACCCCTTACAGGACATCCCTTACAGAATTATTTTTTTCTTTTTGATCTTAAGTCCTATGCGACTTCACTGTTCCTTTTGCGGGTAATTACCCTGTACATTTGGCTTCACTAATACAATTTTTTTTCCCAAAAAAAAAAACGTGGACTTTTCATCCAACTCAACTATATTTACCTCTAACACTACAACACATACCCTATTTATATAGATTCAAACCATAAACTCCTAGCATTACATTCACACAACTACACGCCCACCAACTCCTGTAACCTCTATAATATTAAGACCAACTTTCTCCGCTACTCAAAAATTAGCTCACCTCTAATGCAATTCACTCACCCACTACATGATATATTAACATTCCATTAATCCACTCATACACCTTATTAGGACACCTTAATAACAAAATAAAACTCTAAAACAAGTTTGAGGTAAAAACAATGCACTTTAGTATATAGATTACCAGCATTGTGAAACTGAAACAAAGAGTCGCGGGTGTGGCATTGTGATAAACCACTGGAATAACTCACTACCTTTTGCGCACTAGTTTGGATTGATAAATATTTTGTGTTCTTTTTACATTTTTGTTATGGCATTGTCTTATACTGCACCTAATAATATTTTCTTGTGGCATCAGAGAAGTTTATACAAGCATTACGTTTCTTTCTTGACTAAGTCACTATTAGGTACACAAGAAAACATTGGAACCTTAATTTATTTTATTTTGGTTAGACCTCGATCGTGAAAATTTTTATAATTGTAATTGAAAAATGTTATTTGTACTTAATTTGAGGATTTAATTTAAGGACCTAATGATGTATAACTATTTGATTGGTTGTGGATTCCATCTAATATTCAAACTTAAAATTAATTCAATGGTTATATTGAAGCCACATTATTAGGTCTCTATAGCATGGTAAAGCTCATTACGTCCCTTGACAAGGTGTAATTTCCGTTTTTATTACTATTACGAAGACACTGGACTGATTCTCAAATATTTGGGTTCTTTAATATCAGATTCATTCGGTGTATAGACATCGTTGTTCATTTCCAATATTGGCACATGCTTATGATAACTACAGTTTTGCCGACTTGTGACTTATACCTAAAAGAACAGCTGGTGTGTTTTACAGAGCTAGTACAACAGCGAGTTAGAAATTACCCTTAAATTCAATTTACGGTACGAACAAAATATGTATTGAAGCGAGAAGTAAAGAAAGCCAAACAAATGTTCACAAAGGGGCACAGACATAATTTCTTGATGGACTTTACTCATTTTGAATTGTGTATGTTCACGATTGAAGAGGGAATGCATTCATATTATGTTAATGAAGACGTTGTGTGAAGCCTTAGAGCTTACGCTAGAATAGTAAAAGGCCCGGGACTAAGTGACCGAATGTTTGTAAGCCCAGTACCATGACTTTTCTAGGTGGGGCGGGCTACCAACCTTCCTATGGACCGTGATCGGATTTGCCTATCACTGTGGAGATTTTTATTTATATACCATGATGTGTCTAATGATTCTAACGTACTCCTAACGAAAAGGCAATGGGAGCTGCTAAGCGAGTTGTGGATCGAATTCAGGTTGAAAATGTGTTGCCAATGCAGTGAGTAATAGGAACAATTATAAAACAGAAAACCAATATTTGCAGCATGAAGAGAATAAACTTGGACTTCCCGAAAAAAGCAATCATGCTTTATTATGAAAAATTGAATACAAACATTCAGCAAAGTAATGGTTTAGTTTAAAAAGAATGGAATTATTTCATCGGTACATAATTGAACCCCACCCCCTGGTGGTTGTCCTCGTCTAGTTGAACTGAGATCGAAAATCTTCGACTATGGTCTTGTCGACCTGAAAGGCCTTGGCTAGTATGTCATCATCAATGGGTGGGTGTGATCCAAAAACAGCATCAGCAATGGAGACAACACCGGGGTTCTGGCTATTCAAGAAGGCGACAACAACAGTATTTCCACTGTCCACATTTTGTTGAAAATGCACAAGCCCCATAGGAAACACAAATACATCTCCCTTTTGAAGGATCTTACTGAAGACTCGGTTTTCAGGGTCGGAAGTCACGAAACCAACACGAAGTCTGCCTTCTAACACTGTAACTATCTCAGTGGCACGAGGGTGTCTATGGATAGGGACAACACCCCCTGGTGCAAAGTCAACACGCACCGTCGAGATGTCAAGTGTGTTTAGTCCAGGTATCTGATCCACGGTGAGCCGGTTTATGTAAGAGCCAAGGGGGTTTGAAGTGTTGCCAGCTATATTAAGCCCACTATAGGAGAAATTATCAGCATGTACATACTTAGGGTACAAGCAAACATGACCATTTACTTGTACTGCCATCATCAATGAAACAAGTTAGAAAGCAACAAATATTTTCAAAACTTCTTTTACAACATAGTTTCTTAAGTATAAAAGAATTTTATGAAAACAAAGAAGTATTATGCTATCGAGTCCTCACCTGATCTCTCGAAATCGGCGACACAGAAATCTTGCAAAGGACTAGGATCAAAGGCACTGGCCAGACTGAAACTAACTGCTAGCAAACTCAATAACAACATGGGATTAGCCATCTTGATCTCCTTCTTATTATTATTATCAGAAGCTATTTCCTTTGAAATGCAAAAGTACTAGTGCTTGCACAAGCTCTTGTTCAGATATATGAACTTCCGTCTGGTAATGAAATGAGCTAAATAGCGATGGCGCCGAATACTAATTCTTTCCAAGCATATAAATACAAATAAGATGACATACACCGTTTTAAACGTGGCGCTGCAATATGTAGATATAAAAGGTTAAATTACACTCTGCCTATTAAACTATGCTTTCGATCTCACTTTGTCTCTTAACTGTTGAATTTCTTACATTTTTCATTCAACTATTTCAATTTATTTCATTATGCGTTTATAAATAGTTTAGAGGTCAAAGTAATATAATTTTCAATCAATTTTATAGTGTATGTTAATCACTACGGTAATTTGAAACTAATAGTCATAGTTACATGTGCATGTAAGATAGTTAAAGGGACAATGTGAGAAGGAAACTATAATTAAGAGGTCAAAGTATAATTTTTTGTAAAATAAATGAAGCCATGCCGGCACTGAGTTGATCAAGGTAAGGTTTGGTTAGAATGCTGGCGTTATGTCTAGGTGTCTGGGATGCTGACTGAGTCAGTTTTGGATGTATGGGTTAAAGTCCTTGCGCCGAATCAGTTTTAGATCCAACATGAAGCAAAGTGTTTGGCCATTGACTTGATCATTTCAAAATTTTGTTGAAGACATTTTCAAAGTACGTTTGAAAACTGTAAGCTAATTCAACATTTTAATGGTTGACACACACAATAGATATTGACGTAAAGTTTTAGTATCATGTCACCATCCAGTATCACAAAGCTCAACCAGGTCAATACAAGTAATCAGAAGGGCACAATCGCAGAGAATAATTACATTTTATTCATAACAGAAATAGCTTTTGGCCGGCTTAACCATTAAACTAAGAGTTTACAGGTTGTCAATCCTATCTTGGCATGCCAATTCAAATGGTGAAGAGAAGGGATAGAATTGCTGGAATAATTTTACAGCATCGTGACCTCCTTTAACCCATCAACTAGCTAGGTCCATTTCACATCAACGAAACTATGTAGTTAACTCGTGTTAGGATAATAATATGAAGGAAATAAAAAAAAGAGGGAGATAACAATAAAAACGACAAGCAAATAACTTTTGCTAGCTCCACTTGATTATTATTATTTTTATAATTAAATCCCGACGATACAGGGGAAAATTTTATTAATACCAAAGGGAATTATACCTAGTCAAGGGGACAAAAACCTTATCCCTTTGCTCCACCTGAGTATTTCAAAGAACTTCATCATCTCTGATAAGCACAATATTTCAACGTTCTATGTTCGGGTTAGTTCTTTATATTGGGTGGATTTTCTTATTATGATCTTTATTTTGTAGAAAGTTTGGTATAATGGCTTTGAGCAACTAATCATGTTTGAACAATAGTTTTGTACGTTTTGTTTATGCTTTTGTGAATCTCTTTATACGGGTTCTGCTCATACGGTCGGGTTGGCAACTGAAATGTGTTCCCATCCATTTTTTATGCAGGAGAACGGGTAGAAATAAGGGGATATAAATGAAAGAGGATAAGGAGACTAAAGTGTTGATTTATGCACAAATATCAGTTCAAAATCATACTCTAGGCCCGTTAATTCACATAAAATAGAAGTACTAAAGATTTCAATTGATCTGTTGATTCTTAAGAATATCATATGAATTGAAAAAAATATTATGTATCATAAGAATATCATACGTAATATTGTTGATCAAAAACTGCTTAGCTCTAAGGCTCACAAGAGTATAAATAGTACTTATAAAACCTAAAACTAATTAAGAAATAACAAAACTTGGTCTAATTATAACTAATCACATAATTAGATCATTATTATAAATTTTGCCAAAAAAGAAAGTTACAAACTAATCATACGGTTAAGAATTACTAATAACTCAGATTAAGGCAAAATTGACAACGATCAATTCTAACTTAAGAAGATAAAGTTATTCAACTACGAAAAATTACCAAAAATGACAAAAACTCGTTTTTCAAGTCCTAAACGAAGAAATTTACCCGAAATCCGGTGCGATAAGTTCATTTTGGGCCACCATTTCTGATTGGACATGAGTGTTTCAAGACTCATATATGTGAAAGTGCCTCCAAAAAACTCAACCCGTTTGATTGGTCCGACCCGGCTCTATATCGATCCCAGTGATCCAAGTATTATGCTACGAATCGATCTACATCAATTTTCTTATTCTTTTATTTTTTTTGGGTACATTGAAATGTTTCCACGTCTCCAAGGAGACTTGAAGTGGCTCACATGCCACATTAGTTTTTTTTTAATAATATCATATTTATAATTATAAAGATAATTTTGGGTCAAAATCTGATAATTGGGATTAGGTCAGTCTACCCACTATTGGATTGTAATAATCAGACCAGTTGCGAGTTGCTTGATGCATGGAAGGAACCTGATGTAGGGCAGCATGGTAAAGAAATGAGATTAAATAACATAAACTGTAGTCTGTTGATTATTGCAATAATTTTAGATTAAAGTCGTCAAAAATTTTGTTGATTCATGAAGAATATTAAGTCAATTGGGAAAAAAAAAAAAATTCTTTCTATATGTTTATTAAAATAAAACTAAAGTTGCAAAATCAGTCTTAGATGTCCTTTAAATACTAAATCCCAGCAGTCCTAAATTATTAGCAAACCCCAGCAAAATATGAAATATTAAATAAATACTTCAAACAGCTGTATAGAATATAAAAATGCTAAAAAAGTGGTCTAAACATCATTTTTTGGTTTAAAAATGACGGATTAAAAGATATTCAATATTTACTCGACTTGTCGAGAGCTTTTTGAAATTGAGTCTTAATAGATTTTCTGAAACTATCTCCCAAAATTAGCCCAGAATGATGTCCAATCAGCATTATTTTCAACGATCTTGATCCGCCATGTAGTTGTCTGCTAAACGTGTTGCAACTTCCTCCCCAAATTGAAAAGAATTCTCCTTCAAATTAGAAGTATCATCATCGGGGCTATCCCCTATGTATGGAACGAGGTGCTTGACATTGAAAACATCAGAGGTGCGAATATGAGTTCAACCTGTAAGCATTATAATTAATCTTGTCAAGAATGTTCAATGGTTCAATCTTCTATGCTGCCAGTTTATTGTATTCCAAAGTAGGAAAACGATCCTTAACAAAATGGCCCACACTAAATCACCAACTTCAAGCTCCACCAAAAGCCTTTTCTTATCCACTACCTGCTTGTATTTCGTTGTAGCTTCAAGGAGATTCTGTTGTGTAGCGGGTGAATTTGCTATAGAGTGCCAATAAAATTTTGAGCCTTGCCATAAACACGTGTCATGTCTGGGAGAGGGAGTAAATCAAGTAGGGATCCCGGAACATTGCCGCAAACGACGTGGAAACGGCAGAACCTGATGCTATGATTAACCAAACGGTTATAAGCAAACTTTGTCGAGTACACCTTCTGATCTCAAATCTTCAAATAATCACCAACTAACCTGTGTAGAAGATCCCCCAAAGAGCGATTAACTACTTCCATCTGAATTCTAGTTTAGTGTTACCCAATCTCCACAAACTATGCCAAAAGTGACTGAGAAATCAAGTAGAAACAATGTAGAGAGGTAATTGATGTAGACAGAAGACCTCCAGAAAATACAGTTACGCCACATTGAGTGCATCAACAGTTTTCCTGCAAGGAATAAAGTTTGCCATCTTGGAAAAATTATCTACTACCACATAAATGGAGTCATTTCCTCACTGTGTACAAGGAAGTCCCAAGACAAAATCCATATTTACATCAGTCCAAGGCTGCGTTGGTACTGACAATGGTATGTACAACCCAGCATAACGGGCTTTTCCCTTGGGGACACTTAACAAATCTGACAACCCTTCACAAATATGTGGACCTCTCACCGCATTGAAGGTCAGAAGTAACTAGATGCCACAAGTTGAGAAGTCTTGTCCCTCCCATATGACCTTCACTATGCAACTCCATGATAACTTGCAAGTGAAAACTAGATTCCAGAACACATAACTGATTTTCATCAAAATGGAAACCATCTTTCATATGAAAATTTAAATGTTATCCTCATGCTAAAACATTACCCACCACTAGTGCAAAATAGGGGTCAGTGGATAATAACTCCCGAAATGAATCAAATCCAAGTACCTTAGTTCGCATGACTATGAGAAAAGAAGCATGGGAACTGAATGCATTTGCCACTCGATTTAAAGCACCAGACTTGTGCTTAGTGACAAACGTGTATTGCTACAAGTAAGTTGCCCACTTGGCATGCCATCAAGACAGTTTGTCCTGGTTGTTAATGTGTTTCAAGGCATCATGGTCAGAATACAATACGAACTCATTGTGAATGAGGTAGTTGAGCCAATGTCGAAGGGCTTGCACAATGGCATAAAACTCGACATCATAAGTAGTGTAGTTTAGCTTGGACTTGGTGAGTTTCTGATCGAAAAAGACCATAAGCTTGACAGTCTGATTGAGGACTGCCCCAACACTAACCTTTGACGCATCGCAGTGCAACTCAAACGGCTGATCAAAATTTGGAAGAAGAAGGATAGGAGCATATGTGAGCCTTTGCTTGATCAACTGAAAGGCCTCTGTAGCTGCTTCTGTCCAAATGAATCTGCTATCCTTCATACAATCTGTAATAGGTGTCATGATGGTGCCGAAGTGTGACACCCAAAATTTCGAGAGTCCTTTCTCAACTCGTTGATCACCCATCAACTTGCAAAATACTTGTGGATACCGTAATCCGATACCATGTCCTTATACCCATTCACCAGGATCGTAACAAAATGGAATTTAGGCAGAGTCCCCTTTGCACAAGAGCACTACCCAATACATAACCTGTAACACCTCACTTACTGGGATCATAACAAAACGGAATTCAGGTAGAGTCTCATTTCCACAAGTATTTTGTGGATTGATAGGCGATCAACGGCTTGAAAAAGAACCTCCA